TCGCTGGTCGCGCAACGCTAGAATTTGATATGCGCCGTATGATTCGGTCCACGTCAAATGTGAAGTTCCAGAAGGATCAGCGCTGGGACCCCGTCTGTTCCTCGTGTTCACTAAAGCGCTTGAGCGTCTAATCGCTTCGGCGTTTTTGCTTTTCCTTGATTGTGATAAGACGTGATGGGCGATCGTTGCCAAAGCAGATCACAGTGTGTTTCAATGGGACCTGAACTGTTATCCTACAAGCTGTTCTAGTTCAATACATTAGATTGTAAAGCGGTCCACATTCGTCATCAGCTGAACATCATGGATAAGTTTGGAATCACGTCCTGCAATCATGCACCTAGGAGCGCGGCTTTGGGTTATCAATGCAGGCTGCTTTCGATTGTACAGTACAAAATGAGAAAGCGTCAAAGACTGGAAGCAAACATGTTGGTATGGTGCAGTAGTATGGTGTGGAGGGTATCCGGGCGGTTTGAGCCGACTGTTTGTTTAAAATTGTCTAACTCATACGTGCGGCTTCATGGGGTATCCTCAAACCAGATCTGGCAGCCTTGGTACAAGCACGATCTCACAGCACTCGAGAGCCACGAAGCACGTCAAGGGGTTGTTCCACCTTCCATATAAATTTAAGCTGTTGGCTCCAAGATTGTACAGCGGCTGGGATCGGCGCATACGTGGCCACCTAATAATGGCCTAGGAGGTTTCGAGGAACCCCATCCACGTCAGCCGCCATCTACTGCAACTTAGTCACGACACGCGTTTGAGGGGTCACCAGCTCAAGTTGGCCAAGCAATACAGTCAGCTACAATGTCGGCGAAACTTTTACTTTTTTCCTGTGCCAGACACTGAACACTATAGCGGTGTTTAAAAGGCGTCTTGACGTTGCCCTAACTACCCACATTACGAAACAAAACTTGTATACATCGAGATACCATGTAAGGTGAAAATGGTGCACCAACCGACATTACCCTACCCAATCGACACAGACTCTTTTACGCATGCTTCAGGGTGGAATTAAGCCAAATCAAGGCAAATCCACAATGCGCTGGTATGCACCTGTAACGAGTGAATTTTCAGCCTTGACACATATGCCATCGACATGACAGCAAAAGCATTTTAAAAGCGGTAAAACAACAGTAAAAAATACCTCAGTGGAAAACAACTTAGTTGGCAGAATTTACCGTTCAGTGCTTGGATAATAGAGTTTTGGTCAAATAGATTCCTGGCTAACTAGAGAATGATACACGGCCCACAAGCCCTTGTGCAGGGCATATATTGCGCTATACTTTTTTCTGGTCCGCGAGCCGGTTTTAAAGCTGAAGTGTCCAGTGTAAAGAGGGTGGCTAATCTCAGTGAGTACTTTTGTAGCGTTTTTAATACATGAATTAACGTATGCAAATATAAGTGTTTTTGTCCGTTTGATTTGATATACCACTGCAACGAGAAAAATGCTTCAGTGAACTGGCAAGCAACTTGAAATGCTTCCAGAATCCCTGAAATTACTACGGAAGCGCAATAAGCCCAGTGTCGTAGAATGCACGCAGTGAGGAACTTCAGAATCAAATCGTAAAGTACGCAGGATGATCGCAATGGAACGACGTAAAATGGAAGTCGATCGACTTTGGGGAATATTTGATTCACGTGGTGTGACCACGAGAAATCGTGGCTCAAATGTCTCCAAGATACTTCATTGACGTACTGAAGCTCAAACTGTTATCTTCAGTCTGAAGTTTGGGACATTCCGTGATAAGTGCCTGGTAACGGGCTGTTTATGAAGTAAAATCAGAATCTCATTACACTTGGATGCGTTCAGCGTCAAGCAGCAGGAGTTTAATCATTGTACTAATTCGTTTAACCAACTTTGCAGATTGGCCGATGAAGTCGAGGTTTGATGATTCACGCTGTTGATAAGGTCATCTGCATATTTTAACGGAATGATTTCTTCTGGGACTAGTATAGAGCCAACTGTATGGCAAATCCACCAAAACGTTTCATATTTTATCACCATGTCTTCTTTTCTCAGTGTTGTGGTTTCCATTCTAGCCAACCCGTGGGACTCACTTTTTAACCGAAACGCACCCTCGTCCCGTAGTTTCACTGAATGAAATGGGTGCAACCAGGACGGCGTGAAGCATAAAGCCACGACAATCGTGAATGGGAACTATGATGCTTTGTTGTCGATAGACTAACCTAGCATAGGTGGTCTAAGGTGGCACTGATCTTCGCGCTGGATACCGTTGGGAAAATCTGGAGGAACAGACGAAGCTACCGACGTTAAGTAGTCAGCCATTTCGAGAGGGGCAACGAGTGGTTTCCACCAGATGGTTGATACCTAACGCACTTGTCCCAACCAGCGTATACTCACCGGGTTGGTGCCGTGTGAGCAGACTGCCACTTGCACTACTGCAGGAATACTAGCGTTCGAGAGCAGTGAAATCGTTTGATCGCAACTGCGCACAGATGTGAAGCACATTCAACTCCTCAATCATGACTGAAGCAGGTATGGCACTCATGTATGTTACAACGCCAACTATCATAGGATATGACAGTTAGCTTAAATCCGTACAAAGAGCAAGTCGCCCTGAAACTAAGTTCTAACTTTCGTTCGCCCATGTACGGAAATTGCTGTATCATTACTTACTCGGTTGCTCTCAATTTATGCAACCCAGGCATCTCTAAACTAACATACTTATTTGTTAACCAGAACACTGTCACTAATGGGACAGCTTAGGAAGTGGGTGTCACCACGTAGATACCGTATAACCTTTCTAGTTTTGGGCTTTGCATTCAGAATTGCGGTTTACTGTTTTGCCTACGGAAACGACTACGGAAGCATTAGAGTCAAGAGCAAACGATGATACAGGACTGCTCTTGAGTGAGAAGGAATAGGTAGCAGAATTCCGCATACACTCCGCATATAGTTTAAGTGTGCAGTCAACATAATAGCTGTAGTATTAAATTTGCACTCTGTTATTCAGCATTGCAGGATTGGATGTCTCTCGGCGAGTTTCCTGGTCGGAATGTGAAAACACGCGGATATTCCGAATAGGTGTTGAAAATGGTCCAGAGACACACTGCTCGTGGACGCGGAACCACTGTGGCACTGTGAATGCCAGAGCCTCAATTGAAGATTATTGTGGGCCAGTTAGTATCGCACGCCCGCTCATCTCCGGTCAGTCGGTTGGTCTTTACCATCAGCGTCAAATGAGTGCTGTATCATTAGCGCATGTAGGTGGCACGTGTGTCACGGATGCTTCTTCCACCGTGGTGAGACTAACGGAAAGTTACCCGATTCTCCAAAGCAACCGATAGTGGTTTTTAGCATTTCACTCAAGGCCCTAGTCGCACAGTCTGAAATACTGCTAGACCAGAAGGAATGAGACTAGGTACGCCGAGGGGAATCTTGATTGCTTTGGAGCCGATTCACACCCCTTCGAGATGTGTCATCAGCAGTCACGCGCCCCGTGGACACGACATTCCAACGGTTCAGAAACAATATGCTCCAAGTGAAACAAAATAGCGATGAAATCGTGGTTAATAACGGGCAAACAGAATAAAATTGCTTAGTCAAGTAAGGTGGACAGTATACGAATAATTAAATAAAGCGCGCGTTGTGGAACTTGTCAATGGTTTCGCACTAATACAAATGTAAGTAGGCCTTGCAAAACTTAATGGGGATCTGATGGCTTAGATGCTATTATGCCACACCGGCCACGGCCAGATAGTGCGGATGAAACTTTTCGAAGGAATAATCTGCATGGTAGTAGGTACCGTGGGGACCGTTCCAAACGTAGTCGTATTACTGCGCTTGAACAGTTGTCTTAATCTCCATTATTTATTGTTCCCATTTTCTCAATCTCTTAAGCATTCCAAGTGTCATTACTTCAGAAGTCCGTTTAGGATCCATGGTAATAAACTCGAATAATCACCTACATGCCTTGAGCGTAGAGTGGTTAAAAACTGGAACAGTGTGTCTGAGAAAATAGTCTCGGAGAAACCAGAGTCGGAATCCAAGAAATCCCTAGTGGCTCAATACGGATTACAGATTTTGTGAGCGCATCGCTTAGCCCAACCGCGTAGACAGTGCGCGGTAAAAAAAACAATGCTATTCCCAGTGTGACCGATATTATATCGATGGAGCAATACAGGTGTATGTCTTCTATTTCCCTATCTTTAGTATTCTGATAAGCAATTAGAAGTTGCTCAGCAGGAACCAAATGTACTCATTCAGGCCTCTCAGTCGAGGGGGCACAAACGTCTATATGATTGCGACAAGGGAAATGCGTTCCGAAATTACGCAGTGTCGACAGGACAATTTATCATTCCACTGTGTGATCACCTTTTGAGTTTACGGCTTTCACAAAGATTGTGCATTCAGTCCCAAACAGGCCTTTCAAGGTCATGCACCAAAAGTGCGCCAGGCCGGATGGGAGGCATTAGGAAGCCAGCAAGTTCATACAAACAGTACACTGTAAGGAATCAGTATTCAGATCCCTTGAAAAGTCGTCAATCAAGGCAGTACAGTTCAACGATGAGATGAGATACACGAAGCAGCGGTTGTAATACTTCCACTATAAATGGATATGAAATTGTTGCTCACGCGACACCGTCTATCCAGTACGAATGCAAAGCTGTACAGAGTCGAGTTTGAGTTCGCGACATAAATAACTAGTTTAACCTTGCAACTCATACTACACTTGAATGCTACGTGCGTCTATTCAGTTCTAAAAGCATCGGCGAAGATTAACTATAGTACACATGCCATGCGTGATACCTTCGGGATATGAGTACCGAATGCGGTGTGAGTTTGATGAGTCCGCTTTCTAACTGTACGATATTCAGAGGGCGTAAAAAATAGTGTTCACACCATTGAGCGTCCATAAAATAGTAGGAAAGCATAAAACCCCATGTGAAAGTAGTAAACTCGAGCACTGAGTCAGTTCAGTTACCGGCCCTCAGTGTACAAACCAAAATGTATATCCAACTTGTGTTTTCTCCCCTAGGTCTTGGTCAGATGCACCTACCGATAACATTTCGTCCATGAATTTATACACGGAGGATGAAATAGTTGATATTCCAGAAGGCAACCAGAATTGGACACCTCGAAGAACAAGCTCAAACCATCCAGCCGGGTCGTTAGAGTCCAGAGTGAAGGCACTGAAACTGGCGAATCAACAGCTCCGAGCTGAAGTTCAAGCCGCATGCGTGGCAGTGCGTTTGAGCAACTACGACACCTCGCCGCTTGGTTCCGAAATCTCCCATATGCTGAAAGATAGCAGAGCACTTGATTACGTGAGTGATTAACTGATGGAGGACTAAGGTTGACTATGTGCTGTTCGTTAATCATTCCTGAAGACATAGACACAAAGCTTAGAAATATAGGTCACCAGTTTACCATGCGACTTCGAGGTGGATGGGAACCGGAAACATGACGAAGAATTTGGCTTTCTGTGAGTGAGAACGACTGGTTTTGAACACAATGTGACCAGACGCGTTATTAGGGGTGAGCTAAAGCGGAGCCTACGGGCTGATAAGGAAGCGTGGTGGACAAGTCGGGGTCAAGAAATGGAGGAGGCAGGAGCAGAGGGCAATTACCGCAAGCTCTTCCAGCTAATCCGCACCACTGGTCCCAGAAAACCAGGCTTCAGTGAGACAATCAGAGAAACCGCGGGTACACTGATACACAATAAGGAATGCTGTATGGCTCGTTGGGCGGAACAATTTCAAGATCAGTTCAGCTGGCCCCCTGCTCCCGAACCTCTTGCTACTCAGGTAAAGAAGGACGAGCCATGGACGGTTAGTTTAGAGCCCCCGTCGGAAGCCGAGGTCCGAAACCCGATCACAGCCCTCAATCGTTTTCGTGCAGCCGGACCGGATTCCCTCCCAACTGCACTATTTAAGGATGGAGATGAGGTCCTCTGCAGGGCACTGACCTCCCTATTCGAAAGTAACTGAAACGAAGAGACTGTCTCGGCTAATTGGAGTGCATCGATTATAGTAGCAATATACAAGAAGGGCGGTCGTACAGACTGTGCGAACCACAGGGGTATTAGCCTAACGCCAGTTGTGACAAAATTACTGGCCTCGATTATCGTTCGTCGCCTCACTGCGGAAAGGGAGTCTCGGATTAGGGAAGAGCAGGCCGGTTTTCGCCCAGGACGTGGCTGTATAGACCATATATTCACTTTGCGGCAGGTGCTAGAGCAGCGCCACGCATACCGACAATAGCTGTGTTCCTCGATTTCCAGAGTGCGTTCGATTCAGTCGATCGATCGATTCTGTTCGAAATACTTGCGCGAAAAGGTGTTTCCACGAAACATGTGAACATCCTTCGTGCTCTATACTCGAACATTACAGGCCACGTCATGGCCTATGGTGTCCTGTCGGATAGCTTTCCGACCAAAAATGGCGTTTGTCAGGGTTATCCGATTTCCCCAGTTTTGTTCAGTTTCTTCGTGGATTCTATCATGGGGTGTTCCCTTGCGGAATCTCACGATGTAGGTGTTGAAGTGTTGCGTGGTGAAAGGTTAGTTGACCTAGATTATGCGGACGTCATGCTTTTCGACGATTTTGCGGCGACACAATCAACCCTGAATTGCCTGTCCGGAGTGGTCCCATTATTTGGTATGCACTTCGCACCTTCAAAGGGCAAAGTGTTGCTGCAGGATCACCAGCCACTTGATGACCCCTTGACGCTTGCTAACGAAAAACTCGAAGTGGTTGATCAATTCACTTATCTTGGCAGCTGAATCAGCAATGATGGGCGCATAGAAACTGACGTGAGCTCACGCACTACAAAGGCCAGAGCTGCCTTCTTAAACCTTCGGTATCTTTGGTGACAGAAAGGAATTTCCCTCCGTCTGAAAGGCCGTGTGTACAAGGCCACAGTGAGGGCCGTTCTGCTCTATGGTAGTGAGACTTAACTCCTTCGGTCTGAAGATCTGAGGCGCCTTCAAGTCTTTGATCATTGTTGTCTGCGAAGCATTGCTGGTGTCGGATGGCGCCAGCGTGTCCGCAACGATGATGTGCGTAGGCGAGTACCAGGTAGTGATAATCATGCTAGCTCCCTAGAAAAACAGATAGTACTGAATAAGTTGCGTTGGCTCGGGCACGTGCTACGTATGCCCGGTTATCGCTTACCTAGGAGGGCCTAGTTTAGTTTACCAGGTGTAAGGTGGCGCAAGGCTCTAGGTGGACAGAAGTTGACTTGGCAGCGGGAAATGAAGTCACTGACGACCAAACTGGGTGCGGTTAGTCCGTCTCGCCTTCCAGGCTGGAGTCCACGTGACTCACCTTGTGCTTGGCTGGAGACTTTACAGGACATGGCTCGCAACCTACACCAGTGGCACGTCTGCTGACGTCTCCTAATTGGATTGCCTGTTTAAAGTGTGTTTGTTGCTGAGTTCTCTGCGGGGTAATGGCTGATTATGACGCGTGGCAGTGAAAGCCGCAAGAAGCTGTCTCGCCGATGTCGCCTTATCTTTGCACGATAGCCAGCCGTTTGTGACGGTGGGTTGTCTACACAAGGTGCAGGCGCCTTGACCCTGAATGTTTGCTCAGGGCATTAAGGTTTTCAGGTAAGTCCGCCTTCTCTTCCTCTTCTTATTCTTTGTTTCATAGGTCCTCATGGTTGTATGGCAGCGAAGCATCAGTTCAAATTGCTGATGCACTGCTGCTGCTGATGATGAGAACGGAGAGAATGTGGTACGTTCTCATACGACAGCGAGCCAATGAAAGTCTCACTGCAACTGACACTCACGCATGACAGTTTTCTAAACTGAAACGTAGAATGCTTAGATGACATCACTTCAAACTGCTGATACATACAAAATGGAGCGTGAACCGGATGGATAAAACTTAGTTATGGCAGTTAAAATCACTGAGATAATTACTGTTTGTCTTAATACAAAAAGCCCTTTTGTATAGCTATTTCAGGTTGTCCATATATAGATATAGTACATAATTTGATTAGTTCTCCGAGCTGGACAATTTCGCTGCAGATGTTTCATCATCAGTCGAGGCGACTACGTCTGTGCTTTGCTACTTAGGGGGCAATCTCTCTGAGTGGGCTTGATCGACAAGGAAGTGGGAGCAAGTCAAAATACGAACAGCCAACCAGATCTTCAGGTGCATGTAGTACTCTGGTAGACAGGACTGAAAACAGTAACCTATTGGTCTGTAAAACTAGTTTGTGTACGTTTGCCTGTTGAGGTAGACAGTGTTGAGCGCAGACAGCTAACCTGATTACATCTATGTCTACAGGAAGTTGGTGTCTAGTGCAGTCACCGAGGAACTCACGGAGAAACCTTTACTCCAACTCGATTATTGCGGTCAGGGGCAATGCTACTGTAAGTTTGCGCTTATGCAGATTAGGTAAGATTATGCAGAAGTAGAATTAAAGTAGTTCCCAATTTTGTTAGCTGACGATATGCAGATCTTGTACTTGCTCCCATACTACAACTGGGGAATCACGGTACGTACAAAATTGCGTTGAAAATTTATTGGATTTTTCGGCAGGGAACCCCCATGAAAAAGGCAGTCGGATAGATTATTGTCAGGGAAGGATCTATGAAGTTGCCCGCTTTTACAATTAGATCAAAACTGATTAGGAATATGGGACGATGCGAGTCGCTAGGACACTTGATCAGCTACAATATTTGTACTCACAAACTTGCGGCCGATAGGATACTGTTGAGGAATCAATGGGTGGTTGATTGGTACGACACATACATCCGTCTGGTCCGCCGTGTAACCCATGAGTCATGGACTCGAATCCGCGTAGGTGTTGGCGACCACACAAGAACCCGATCCCGTGCTTGACTGACAGCGGTCATGTGGCAGCGAAACGACGGTGCGACGTACCAGGGTGCTGTCAATATCTTTAATTTGAGTGATCAGAATCGGGCATCTCCCGTGGGGATTATTTGTGGGTTTGACAGAATGAAGTTGCTGTGGCGCATGCGGCTGTAGTGTCCCTGGAATGATTGTAGGGTATGAGAGGCTGCTCACGAACAAGTGTCAGTGCGTGCCCTCTGTTGTCAACTTCCAAGCATATTTTGGCATGGACACAATATTACCTTGTTTGACTTACTCACAGTCTGCGTGAGTGTCGTCCTGAAATAATCATTGTGTGAATGAATTGCAGTACACCATCTCAGTCTAGACCGCAATGCATTTTGTTATCGAGATTGCGTGTCGTAATTCGCGCATCCAACGAGTGCTTCAACATGATCCCTCCAACATTGTGCTCTGCTTTAAGTAACCAACACAAACGAGAACGTGGTCGGAGAGCAGGCTAAATAGCAACAAATGAGCGAAGAAGTCCACAGTATAAACGTCGCCGAGGTCAACAGGTGCTACAAATCAACATTGCTCGTCATTTTCGGACCCCAAAGCGGGAGGCAGTCGACAAGAAAATAAGACATTTTCGAAGTCATAGACTTTCCTCCACTTGATCAAGTCTCCGGTAGGTCTCTTCTCCACTCCTTCTATCCAGACCTCTGTCGTACAAACAGCGCACGTCTCTGAAGTAGGCGTATTGACATGTGCCATACATTGTAGGGAGGCGTGAGGCCTTGATTGCCCGGAGGGCAGGAATACCACGAAAATGAGGGTGGACAGAAACGGGAGCAGGCGCAATGAAGGAGGGCAAATGGAGCCACACTGACCTGACGGAATGAGACGAGGAGTGGTCACGAACGGTGTACGGTAGTGAATCTGAGCCAGGCAGAAAGGAGAGAGTATTCATCGTGAACGCAATAAATCAGACACGAGCCCCTTTATTGTAACGTCCTGGACCGATCCCAAGCAGAGTGATTAATCCACGGTCAAGCAAAGCATGAGCTATCGAATGATCCGCCCGATTAGAATGGGATGCGCAGTAGCGGAGATACAGGGGTGAAGTGGGCAGCGAATATTTCATCGTGAGGTCTCCAAAGTGCATGGATGTGTTGCGAGCGGAAGTCAGGAGAGATGGTGCGTCGACGAAAGGAAACGTGACTCAATAATGTACGCCTGAGCGAGCGGTGGTATAGCTTTTGCTCGCACCAATAATGATTGTGCTACGTTGCCGTGTCGTTCTTACTACAATAAGGTTAAGTGGGGGTGGTCATGTTGTAGTAATCATTGTGTGTATGGATTGCAACCCGCAATCTCTAGACCTCAATGCACTTTGAGATTGTGATTGTGCGTCGTAATCCGTGCACACAACGAGTACTTCAAAATGACCCCATGCTTAGGCATTAACCGTTGTGATAAACCTTTCTTGCGGATCAGGGATGTAAGATTGAGGGATTTGGATGGAAGACAAGACTACGCTTCACGTTCTGGTCACCGTTCTGCTATCTCTAGTCGATGAATGCAAATAGGTACGAAACATGTCGTAAAGTGCAGTGTTACCAGTTGGAAACACCAAACGTTTATCTACACATAGATCGCCCTGCGAATACCACCGCGGCATCCGTTGTATTACCGCTGTATTGACCGTATTCAATGGACGAATCGACAGTGCAGTTTTTTTCCGTACATCACGTCACATAAAAATCATTAACATTAGAAAGCCAAAAATAAAAGCTCGCACTAACTGTGAAGGAAAGCCAAAAAAGATAGCTTTGCCAGTTCCATGAAACGTTATGTGAACGACTCCAGTGAACAAAAAAGTGATCATCGATACCGTTTTTGCTGGATTTGTTGTTCTCCTTGTGAATACCCAACCGACCTTCTGTAATATACTATTGACATGTAGTCGAAGCGATTTCATGATTATGTACAGGAACAGTGATGAGCAACTATGAAAAAGGAGGCTACCAATTGAAAGTTATGTGTACAGGGCAGGTTGGTAAGGACAAATACACATCCGCTAGAACAGGTTTAAAGGTGACAGTCGGCAACCTGATTAGAGGTGACGATCTCGATTCATTTGACAAACAATGGCGCAGGCAAGTAGTGAGATTGAGTCACAGGTGTCTGAGGATTTTAAACAATGAAAAATGACTTCATACAGGTTAAGAGGCATTGCTTTACAAACTACGTAGAGTGGTCTGGTGGGTTTGTCGAATAACGTTAATAAAAAGAAACAGTGCAATGTTTATCTAACAGTCTAGATGTGATGAATTTCTGCTAATACTATTAAAACCTTTACTATTTCTTTGGAATCAATACGAAGACCAAAGTGCTTATAATGCCATAAGTTACTTGGAAGCTTAAGTGTGTTAAGTTCGTCACTTTCTAGGGAGCTACCCTGTGCTTACACGGCAGTAACTTGCAAGCGATTGGCTACATAGCACAGTCACGACGATGGTTACCGTACACTGTAGTTCAGTAGTCCAAACCACAGACTAGAAACAGTCAAGTTACAGGTTAAGACCCCACAAACGTCAGATAGAATGCGAACTGCGGATGAATAACGGAAGAATGAAACGGCCGCACAGTGCTTTCACAGGCATGTGATGGCTGACTATGTGAGTCTAGATGCGGTAAATTGCTACTTGTAGTATTCAGCTCCCCTATTACGCTTTCGTAAAAAGCCAAAACTTTTACTACCAAAAGAAGGATTTTTCCTTGGTAATGTTGTAATGCCAAGGTGACGATCGACAATGCCGCAGTCGAATCTGCATTATATATCTGGTCAAGAGGATATAAGGTGACAGATAACTATCCTTTAGCCCATCAGTTTCTCCCCAAACGTGTATCCATCGCTTCTGAGGACCTGTGTTAGATTAATGGTTACCATATACAAGTGGCTCCAACATGAACGTACCAAAGGCAGACCACAAAAAGTGCACGAGAGATAGCTGCTCCGCACACAGTAATCAGCCACAGAGGAGAGAACCCCCAGGGCCTGTCTGTAGCAGAGCTGTTGGTTCGACTGAGCATGCTGAATTCAGGTATGGCAGTTCCCCTTCGCTCCATTGCTGTCCTTTTGTTTCGACCGCCCCAATGATTCTCAGAATAGTCTGCTGTTTTTGGCTATTGTTAATAACTGCATACGTAGTTTACGCAGCCTCGAGTCAGTTCTCTGCTTCTCAGGTACCTTTGGACGCCCAACACAATGGCGTAGGTTAGGTTTGGAAATAAATAAATAAATTTAGATATATGTATACATATCACAGTTTTCCTTACCAATTTCTCTCACTCTCCCTCGGTATTCAGAGTTGCCCTCACTTGACCGATTTGCAGGTCAAGAGAACATCTGTCAGTAATCCACCTGGTGGAACTCAACAGCCAGAAATATGCGAATGTCTCAATGCTAAGTTAAGTATGAGGAAGGGCGTTCATGAACACGCTCACCCGGTGCGGACCGTGCAGCCAGGTGGAAGAGAGGATGCAGTAACTAAGCTCCGTACAACAGAGGACAGGCTGAAACTATCAACGGAGGGCAAAAACCTTGGGATCATGGCGACTTCTCTGAAGACCAAAATACCTAGACGAAATGCGTCACTCCATCGATGATCGCATCAGCATGTGAATTTCCAGTCGCATTCAATCAAGTAAACAGTGACGTCCCGTTATCCCCTTATTGAGGACAAGACGTGAAGTCATTCACATGTTTTCTGGAGTGTAATCCTTCATTAACAGACGACAGTTCATGTGAGGACATTTTCTCGCAGTCGTCAACCACATACTTATTGTACATATGGATTGAACTCACGCACGAAATAATGTCTATGAATGCAAAAAATTGCTATTGTCCACCTTCATCAGTGAATTGCACAAAAATGGCAGCATCATATTCTGTGTTCTTTGGCTAAACAATAGTCCTACGGCGCTAACGTGATTCGAGTTTACCTTTCAGAGAAAAATTAAACACTTTGATTCAAATGGCGATTAGTAAGGAAAAAGCTGATGTTTCAGCAGTTCCACACAACGTTAGAAAGTGATAACGGAAAAAGAGAAGCTGGAAAGATGACGATTCAGAATGAAACCGGTGGTGTTGCATTTAGTTGGAGAATACATGATAATTGGGGGTTTCTGGAGTGATTCACGAGCCAAGTGTTAGGAACAGGCTGAAATCAACATGCTTCGATTGCAACTCAGATGGAATTGAAGGTAGAAAAAATTACTTTAATTGGTCACCGACATGTTCCTTCGCGCGCAAGACTATGTCCCCCGAGGTAAAGTGCATCTACTCGAGCATTTGTGCCCAGTTCAAGGAACGGTTGATTACATTACGGAACGTACCATGTGTTGTACACTGGTAACGACAAACTCTTTAATGAGGGGGTTACCATGGGACGCAATGTGGTATCTTTATTGCACCTGCCTAGAACGGTTGTATTTCGCGATGACTTCACATGTGTTGCACATTACGATATTGTACTCATCATGACCTATGCTATCTTATACTTGCTACCTTCTCAAGCGGAGTCTAGTATGGTTAAATACCGAGACAGTGAGCTACGGCATCTTCCACTTCATCGTATTATTCGGCCGCGATTCACATCACTATGTGAAATCCATGGTATTACTCACCATAACCGTAGCTTGACCAGCTGCTCAATGCTAACTAGCATGACGCTTAGAGAGCCGGTGCATCGCAGAATAATGGTTCAATCCATCCATGAGCTCATTCGTACTGTACATGTAGAGGGTAACACCTAAGTGCACACTATTTCACTGTACCAATAGTCTAGTCATCATTCTACCTAGCAGTTTCTTCACTATTGCTACATCGGGTTCCTTCAAATATGGATGTCCATGATGTAAGGCTGTCACGTCTAAATGTTGAAGAAGACATCAACAGTTCGTATTGGGTAGTTATTCTCATGCCTGCGAAAGTGGTTGTTAGCCTGACCTCCCAACGAAACCCATACACGTTTCTCGTACCATTGATGATGATGTCTAATGTGTCTCTCTCCAGTTTGTGACAGCTGCTCACACTGAAGTTTGGATAAATGCACGTGCATATGTTGTATTCGAACTGCCATTGGACACGGATGACGACAAACTATGTATATATGTATACCGAATGAATCCCACGAGCATACTCATACCGCTTTTGTACGGCTAACTTAGTGCAGTAAAGCGACATTCGAGTAAACCGAAAATAATATTACCAGAACATGAAGGTGAGTTTATGACAAACTCATGTTGATTTCAGGTGTTGCAAATCCAAGGCAAATTTGATCGATGCGAATTCCGTGAACTGCTCAAAAGGGCGGTTTCTCAGGTGTCGGAGAAGTCACAATTGTATGCGTAATAGAATCACCATGAGTATGTTCCCATTCAATTTACTAATCCAGGCCAATAAGGCGTCGTATGTGGTACGTTTGCCTGCGTGATGAGTAATCTTGCATTTCAGAAGTAGATGTTGCTTGAGCTCCCCTGTGTGGATGCGCCTGATGTGAATGTTGACAAGGTGTCTACCTGTCTATTACCCACTACCTCGTCCATACTGGCTCCATGAGACAGTTGGTCGTCGCTGGAGGGGACGGAGTGCACCGTCCTCGTGACGGTGCTAGGCTCAAAGAGTGGTTCCATGCAACCTGTGTGGAACGGGCTACGGTCCAGCCACCGCCTCGTGTATGTCTGGTGTGTATGATTTCCCAATTAGGCCGGAATGCTTCTGTTCTGCTTGTTGAAGGAGTGTGGGCCGGCTCTGTTGATGAAACGTGGCTCCCATCCGCATGCCTCCCGGTCTTATTCCTTCGGGTTTACACCGGATATGGGGTGTGTGGGTGGAACTATGGGTGGTGCAGCGCAAGCCACCCATGGTCCCTCTGTAGGCGCAGGCGTCCTGTGACTGTCCTCATGGACGTCACAGTGACAGGCAAATCCGGATACGGACGCCGCCAAATCATGTGTTTGCTAGCTCGAGATTATACAGCGTGCCAACAAGGTAGCGTCCCTCCTGCCCCCTCACAAGCTACAGAGTGACACAGTAGGAGTTGGAGGATGGAACCAACCAAAAGTCATGGTCAGACTAAATTCTCAAGTGGGTATTTAGACAAACAGGAAGCCAGAAAATCGACCGCAAGGTTTAAACTTAGCCAAGGATTTCTCTCTAGTTTTCGCTATACAGATTCGTCACTGGCGTCAGACATGCATAATTGGCAAGGATGTAACAAGAAACAGTAGGTAGTCTCGCAAACGAAGCACAGAGAGATGTTGTCAAAATACTGCGTCTCAGAGCCAACGACCGCTACTCCGTAGTTAAGGTACTGGTTGATGAAGACGGATTCTCCCTTCATGACCCAGTTATCATTTGCGAAGTATTCAGCTCCTTCATTGTCACATTCACTAGATTTTTGACTGAAAATATGCCTGAGTACATGGATTCTGAGACAACAGATAGTCCATGCAAGGGAAAACTTTGTCCTAGAAACCTTCAATAAGCTATGGGATCTAGTAAACTTCCTCCAATCTGGATTTCGCTGTTATCCAATCATCCGCTATGAAATCAGGAACGCCTAGCCTATCAACTATTTTACTGAACAAGTGCATCTCATCACTAGAAGGTAGTCAGATCTCACACATTATCATCCATCTATCGTCCATCACACCTATAGCCACCAGACTGCTCGAAAATTGGTTAAGGGCATGGTATGAGTTGTCAACCATTTGAGACTGATACTGGTTCTAACAAGATGATTTAATAAGCGATGTAGCACAGACTATCGATAAGATGGGCTGAGTCGCACTTCGGTTACGCATTCATGATTCCACTGCTGTACATGCCACAAGGACGCTACTGGGTGCTTCATAAACTGATAGTGAAAGAGATAGTTCCACGGGTAAAAAAATCAGTGCTACTTTGGCCATCTGTATACCCGAGTTGTCGCTATTTGATAGACAAGTTGAATGATCATTAGCCATTCCCCACGTCCATCCTATGGCGGTAGTAACCACTGTAGCCTACTCGGTCCTTAACTGTTCCTGCTCTACGTCAGCGTCAACATCAGGTTTGTCAAACATGGCCGGCCATTTCCATCCGTTAATGATATTCACTTTACATACAAATTAAGCTGAAAAAGACTTTGGGGCATAATACTGTTTATTCAAGTAGGGCTGTATTTGAGTAAACCGTGGTACGATGCAAATATGGTTATGTTATCGGTTAACAAAGCTTATGGCTGTTCTAACCCTGGGAGATTTATTAGCATCAGCCACGAATGCTCATGTGTAAAGTCGTAAATTCGTGATCTAGGAACAAGGTCTTAGACTTTGCTGATTACTGAACACTAGATAACGCGGATCAGACATTCTGTGTCTGGAATGTCTGATAAAAGCCATACAATCCCAACAAAAGTTGAGCTTTCCAAAAACCCACTGGTCACTTGGTGGAATACAGAAGCCTCATTTATGGTATCACGAAGCATTCATTGAGCGAAAATGCTACCCAGAGCTATCGAGTGTTGTGGGAGATGTTAGCTGGAACCCGATTCGTTTCAATGAGTGGAGCACAACATGATGTTCCTTTGCATTGTGATATACCAAAATAACAACTGCACTGACTGCACTACAGCCTAGTAGGGCTCAGAAGCTTCGCAGCAAGGTCATACGCTGGTACTATCAAGGACCAGCATGCTTGTGCGTAGTAATCTCCTTCTAATGGGGTATACCGTCTCGTGGAATGGGCTGCCAATCACACATAGGCGGTGTAAGAATGCAACATGATCGGTAGGAAACTGGAGGATAACTTTAACATGAGTGTAAACATGTTCTCATCCGGCAAGTCCGCGAAGGGAAATGCATTTATATGAAACAAAAAGGAAAGTATTCACAGGATACTGATGTTTTCCATTAGAAAAGCGCTTCATGATTGCTGAGTTACAAGCACGGGATTAGGAGCAACGTGAAAATCCTAACGAATAATTGTTAAGTCCTACAAACTGTAAACTTACAGTTTTCGGGTGAGGCATCACATAGGCACGCTGAACGTGTGAAACATGCACACAGCATCCATATAGTTAGCTCGCCTTCTTTTAATAACCTATACAATTCAGTGAATTTCACGAATACGCGGAGACAAAAATTCGTCCACACATGCGTTACTCAAGTAGGGGTATGAGTACACTCAGAAACATGTACAGTGATCGTGGGTACGGGTTACCCTCATCCACCCCCCAAAGGGACAGTTGTTGCTATTATTGCCATGACCACTGTCAACCACTAACTCCACTGATCAGAACTGGTTCATATTTTGCCGCACTGTGAAACAGTATTCCTTGTTGCTGAGATAGTTCGTTTTCAGTTGGTTTCCACTGTCTTTCTGATCGGAATTCCATTTTTCTTCCCGACATTCTTTCTCCCCGCTTTAAAAGCAGACAGTCATGAGCCATCCCCTACTATTTGCCTACTGCAAGTAATCTATAGCGTCAACACAAAACCCATTGTAAGTTGGTGCCTTTTGTCGCCAAGTCACTTATTATAGGATGTTTCAGTATGACGAAGTGCCGCAGCACGCAGGCTCCATTGCTAGTTGTCACTATGCTAGTGACACCTCATAGACGTAGCCCTTCCCGCACGCAGTCGCATTGATCATGTCGCAATGCAAGTTACTGCATAAGGTTCAACCAAATGTGCATGAATAGCGCGGAATCTGTCAGCGGCAACACGCCGATCACATTCAACCGTGGTGTTACGCAACTTCAGCGCGCAAGATGTGCATGTTGACACGATAATACGTTGTTGCAGTTTGCACGCATAGGCTACCACCCATGCCTGTCACCTCTATTGGCGTCGGGTGGATTTCAACAACAAACGATGACAGGTACAAGGCACG